TATATTAATTGTACAATTTCTGAAGATCTTGGTGAGCTGGTTAAGCGGTTTTGGCAATTAGATGAAATTGCTACGTGTTCCAAGCGCACTGAAGAAGAAGAAAAGGTCGAACGAATTTTTTTAGAAACATATTCTCGTGATAGTACAGGAAGATTCACGGTCACAATTCCAATAAAAGAGAATATAAGCGATATTGGGTGTTCAAGGGATATTGCACTGCAGCGTTTTTGGTCTTTGGAAAAAAGATTGAGCCGAGATTCTGAATTGAAAAAACAATATGTCGAGTTCATGAGGGAGTATGAGCAACTAGGTCACATGGAGCAAGTTTCCAAACCAGCCACGCCAGGTGAGATGGTATACTACATCCCTCATCACTGCGTAATTAAGAAATTTAGAGTAGTTTTTGATGCCAGCTGCAGAACAAATAAGGGCATTTCTCTAAACGATGTACAGATGTTGGGCGAAAAGCTACAGCGCGATCTAACAGAAATTATTATGAGATTCCGTAGGCATAAATTTGGGGTCATTGGCGATATTAAGATGATGTTCCGTCAGGTGCTCATCAACAAAGAGCAGTGGAACTTGCAACGCATTTTTTGGAGGGAGTATAGCAGTGAACCTTTGAGAGAGTATTGCTTGAAGGTTGTTACTTATGGAATGACATCGTCAGCTTTCAACGCAGTTCGAGCGGTTATACAGTGCGCACGAGATGCGGCCGAGGAATTTCCAGAAGCCTCTAGGATAATTGAAAATGATTTGTATGTGGATGATTGCATTACCGGAGCAGAAAGTGAAGATAAAGCGATAGAAATGGCGAAATCAGTGCAAAATGTGTTAGCAGGGGGAGGTTTTCAAATGAGAAAGTGGAAATCGAACTCCAAAACACTGATAACAGACATGCGGTCGGATGAAGAAGAGGACAGTATGTTCATAGACGAGGAAAGAGCCACAGTTCTAGGACTTAAATGGAATATTGCTCGAGATCAATTCACCTTTGTTGTAAAGACTCCCGAGGTTGAAGGTTTGGTTACCAAAAGGAAAATTTTGAGCTTGGTGGCGCAGCTTTATGACCCTAACGGGTACATATCTCCTGTTACAATGATGGGGAAAGTACTGATACAAGATTTGTGGCGCCTTGGTATAGAATGGGATACACCTGTGGGTAACGAAATAGAAGAGAGATTCAAAAGATTTTGGGAAGATATGAAATGCCTGGAGGGGTTCACTTTGGATAGATGGATCGGCACTGGTGATGGTCAACGTGTTGAGCTGCATGGGTTCTCTGACGCGTCAACATTAGCATATGGTGCCGTAATTTATGTTCGTGTGGAAAACGGAAACGGAGTCGCGAAAACAACCTTGCTTGCATCCAAATCACGGGTAGCGCCCATGAAAACTGTTTCAGTGCCCAGGTTGGAGTTGGCTGCCGCGGAGCTTTTATCACGTTTGCTGGTTGAGGTTATGAGAGCTATGGAATTTTCTGAAATAAAGTATACGTTGTGGACAGACTCTCAGGTGGTATTGCACTGGATTGGTAAAATTCCACGGGACTTGAAAACGTTTGTAGCAAATCGCGTTTCGTCGATACAAACGAACACTGATATAAAAAGATGGAGATACATTAATACGAAAGATAATCCAGCCGATCTATTAAGTCGCGGAATGAGGCCATCAGATATTATAAACAATAAGCTGTGGGTACAAGGTCCGGAGTGGTTAAATCAGGAATCGACGTGCTGGCCTGATTGTGTGTTTGTGCCAAACACAGCGGCGGAGGCTGAAGTTGAGTTTAAAGTGTTTTCGGTATCAAACACCAAGGAGCCATTGCAGATTTCCAGACGTACTGCGAAGCAGAAGGTAGCAATAATAGACTATGTTGATAAATTGGAGAGAGCGGTCAATATTGTTGCCTATCTATTTAAATTTATTGCGAACGCAAAAATGCATGCAGTAGCGACGAGGAGGAGAAGAGGTGAAATGGAGTGCGTAGCATTAAGTAATGAGCACAGAGTCAAGGCGATGAATTTCCTAGTACGACAGGAGC